CGGTCAGGGAGAAGGGGTGGTTGGATGGGGCAGGGGTCCCGGGGGGGGGCAGTCAGGAATGAGAGGAGGGATTGGATGGGGCAGCGAGGGGCAGTCAGGGGCAGGAGCTCTGGGGGATGTCAGGGGACAGGGGGGTTGGATGGGGCAGGAGTCCCGGGGGGGCTGTCAGGGGGCGAGAAGCAGGAAGGGTCCGATAGGGGGCAGGGCTGAGCCACGCCTGGCTGTTTGGGGAGGCACCGCCTCTGCTAACTGGCCCTCCATACAATTTTGGAAACCCGATGCGGCCCTCAGGCCAAAAAGTTTGCCTGCCCCTGCTTTAAGATCATGGTGACTCAGTTCCTCATCTGTAAAATGGGGGTTGTGTTGTGTTTTGATAATACTTCTTTTCTCCCAAACTTTATCTATCTTGTCCAGTTAGATTGTAAGCTTTTCAGGGCCTCTTTGTATAATGGGGCTGCATTTTCAGTTGGGGCCTCTAGGCATTACTGTAGTACAAATAATAAAGAGTAATAATTTGGCCTTTGGCCTTAGAGTTTACTTAACCCAATATAGGATTATTAACTTGCACAGAGAAAGCACATTCACGTTATAAACTAATTATAAAATAATGAATAGTATAGAGCAGACAGTTTGGACACTCTTATTTCTCCTTTTGTATGATACAAGGATATGGGGACTTACAATGAAATTGTAAGGCAGTAAGTTAGTCTGTTAGTGGTTGCTCCAGCCATTAAGCATAAGGTTTTCCTTCTCTTATTTTTAATCATATAATGTAACTATGATGTTGTAATTATCTAAATAAATGTCTAGTCTTTTTTTCAATCCTAGACTCCTAGTCTGAATCCTACTGTGGTAATTAGTTCCATAGATCAATTTTGCCCTGCATTTTTTCCCCATTCGATCAGCTTTTAATTTGTTGCCTTTCAGTTTTGTTGAAAATTCCCTTGGTCTTGTATTATAAGCAAGGGTAAACAGATGCACCCAATTTACCATGAATTATTTTGTGTACTTCTATTATCTCCCCTCTTATTCCTCTCCTCTCTAAACTGAACTGTCCCAGTCTTTTCAATATCTCCTCATAGCTAAGTCTCTCCATGCCACTAAAGATTTTCATTTCTGCCTTTGGAACTCTTCTATTTTTGCTATCTCTGTTGACTATAGTAGGAGTTTTGAGCTCAACACCTCTGAAAATCTGTTTGTACGCACGTCAACTTGGGCACCCAAAAATGGAGGCATCCAAAGTTAGAAGCTACCTTTGCAGATTTGGCCTTAGTGACTTTCCCGAGGTCACACAGTGAGTTAGTGGCAGAGTTAAAAATGGAATCTGAGTCTCCTCATAGTCTTGCATTCACCCCACTAGGCAGTAGCTGCCTCCTGCAGATTTCAGCTACCTCCTTCCTTTCTCTAGTTTGATTAATTTCTTAAAAAGCAAATAAATTTAAAGTAGCTTTTGCAGTAGAGATTAACTCCTATTTAGTTAATCTCAGCGGATGAGCTGGAGGAAGGAAAGAAGAGGAAAGAAAGCTAGGCTGAAGGAATTGATTTGGGAGTGTCACAGAGTAGGAAAGAGGAACTTAATATTTTCCACCATGAGACCAACTTCTCTTTTAGAGATGCTATGGATTGTACTTCTCGATATTTTCAATTCTCACCTTCTGTTATAGCAAATTAAATCAAGGGCTGTTTAATAAACCCAGTTTAGATTTTTCAGTAGTTAAACTAAAGTTGCAAATGGCCAGAGGGCCACAAACTGCTTTTGAAAGGACTTCTGGTATCCTGGGGAAGAAAGAGACCAAACAATTCAAGAACTTTTTTAAAAGATGAAGTTAGATGAAATTTGTTAGAAAACAAATGTAGGTAAGGGTAACTTTGTAACTTACGCCCCACTAAGAACTCCAGAATGGATGGCTATGTTACAATAAATAGCTCAAAATTATTTTTAAAAAGTTATTCTTTCCTTTCTGAAAATGTAAATGATCAGTAATCATTTACATATCATATGTGTTCCTGGGCCTCTAGTGAGCGTAGTTCTCAAGTGGATGAAGGTACAAAGCCAAAATGTACCCAAGAGGTGCAACAGTGGTGCAGAAATGTTCACCCTGTTATAGTTTACTGCTTAATTGGGACCAAGACATTAAAAAAAGTCATTCTTCAGTAAGCCAACCTTCTTCATATTATTACAAACTATGACAATGATATAAAATGTTCCAGTTAAGCTGAGAAACATCATTTTCCTGAACATGTCTCTGTTAAAAATACTATCCATAAATTGTGATCAGACACATTGTTAGATTTTGAAGTTATTATATGATTATAGTTATAATCAGTTAATATCATGCAGTTTGTTTTATTAATAATTAACTAATGCAAGAAGACCAAAAATGTATCTCATTTGCATGACAGACTCCTGTCCAGATCCTCTGCTCTAAATCTAAGTTCAACATAGGTAATGGGGGATATTAAGGGTTGGTTACACTCCCTAATTCTCTGCTCCAGTACAGGTTAGAGAAGCCTAGGAGCTACTCTAACTTCAGCCACCTGGCAAACTTTACTGATTGGCTATGCTCAGCTGGCAGATGGTCTGAGTGCAATGCATTCTGGTCATTTTCTGTTGTGACATGCCTTTGCTGAATAGTGCTTCTGCTGAGAGTGGTGTAGAAGCCAGCTACACCACTTCTATGCCTGCTAGGGACTCTCCTACCACTACAGGTATCCCAACAAGGAAGCTGTAGCCAGATTCTCAGAGTGACACAAAAGGGACTGAGCAATCCAGAGAATTGACCTTTGTGTCTGCTCTCCTGACATATAAAGTTTTGAATCATGATAATTACACTACTGAATGTGAGAGGTTCAAGGAGCAGTAGGCAAACAGCTATATGAAACAAGTGTAGGTAAGGGGAAAAGGTATTTGTAAATACAGAAAGGACCATGTGGAAGGCTACTGTGAAACTTTTATGGGGGATCCGATTCTAAAAATACACAAGAAAGTATTTTGTATGATAGACACTCAGCTTTGAGGGGAACCCTAAAAGGGCTATGTCTCCAAAGATCCTACTGTCAAATGGCAGCTCCAAAGCCAGGAGAGATGAAAAGCCAATCTGAGTGAACTTTTCCCCTTGAAAATCTGGAATGAGCAGAGAGAAAGACCCCCTGGAAACACTACCAGCTGATACCAGTGAGAAGAGGAGAAATCACTGCTTATACTCCTTAAGATTGTCCCCAGCTCCAAGACTTTTTATGGTTTTAGGGTCTGATCCAATGCCCATTAGAAATCTACAGGAATACTTCCATGGACTTGAATGGGCTTTGGATCAGGATCCTAGGAGCTGTTTCCTTTCCTATATGATACCACACATAGTACTTGGGTTTGTTTTGCAGCTAGATGTTTCTTCTATTCATTGACTGATGTTTCTTGGAGGTTTACACTACCTGATGGAGATTTTGGGGTATGAAAAGTGATGGTATGGACAAGAACCTTCCACTTAATATCAAACTATTCTATGTAATATTCTCGTCATGTTAAATGGTACTAACTTTGGTCGCTCTCTGGCCAGAATGACAGTTATGATTTCATGGATGTCTCTCCAGCATTTTAAAAATGTTTTATGTAACAAGTCAGATTCTGTGCTCCGCCTCTTAGGAAGTGGAGCACTGGACTTGGAGCCCAGACAAAATGGGAGAAAAAGATGGCTTTAAGCCATCTGTGCACCTTCCTAATTCAAGGATGTTTAAGAGAATTGTGCAGTTCCTGGTGTGAGTGAGACCTTCCCCCAGGAATGTTTTGATTTATGACAGCCTTACATGGCTGCTTCACAGCCTGGAACAGTAGCAGAACAAAGCACTCCAGCCACTCACCATCCCATTCACAATATTCCCCCAGCAAATCCCTATGCACAAGAGGTCAATAGAAGGTTGTCTATGTACATATATACTGGGCCACTGTGGGGGACAGAATCTGTCTCAAGATGTCATCTTCAACATTTGCCTGAACTGTTCATGTATTTTCGCTTCAGTTTCAAGTGTACATAGTACAAGTCATTTATTGAGCAAAAATGAAATACTTTATATTTAGCATTTATTGGTTTCATTTATGTCATGATTCACAGCATCTCTCTTCCCCGGCTTCATTTTCCCTGTGTCTAAAAAGCATTGCTAAATTATTTCAGATGTAGTGAGTGATGTTGTATTTCACTGTTTACATGTCTGATGTGCATTAAATACTTAAGTCACAAAAAATTCTTTGATACTACAGGTACTGCTACATGTCACAGTATATCTTTAGTTCACCACATATTGACATAATCCAGTACCTGAGATGGACAAACAGTTGGTATTCTCTAAATTGTACCAGGGCTTTCGGAGCTGCTTCAGATTTATTAAAAAACCCCTCTGTATTAGAAGTGTTATGTATTAGGAATATTCCACAAAGAGATATATTTTGCTGAGTGTGGAATTTTTAATCCTTTTCAAATGTCAATCCACATCTTAAAGAAATGTGCATCAACCACATGTTTGTAATTTATTTTATGAGTCAAATTTTCAGTTGATGGAGCTGTAAAAATATGCATACCGATTGTACCTGAAAGCTGGAGATGTCCTATAAGCTTGCCTGGCCCTGGCAAATTGCCCTAAAAGATCCTTCCTTAATAAAAGTTTGTATGGAAATGTGTCACAAGTACAAATACATATTTAAGTACAATAGCGACAGACATAGACTTGATCTTTGCATTTATAAACAATGAAATAATTTAATTTAATTATTCATTTTTGAGAGCGTGTTCATTATGGCTGTTTACTGAAAACTTTGCAGAAATGTTGATGCTTTGGCTTAATATGACTGTTTTACCGAAAACTTGTAAGCACTGGACTGAGGACGCTCCGATTTTGAGGCCTTAATTCACAACAAAATGCTCTGGCTCGTATCTATACTCTATAAATTGCCATAAAATTGTGTTTTCCTTACCTTGATGAGGATGCAGGCTCAGTGATCTGTCTCTGCATGCGTGCATGTTTAATTAGATGTTCTTTCAATGCATTCTGGACTTCTGCTGGAATATCAGGTGAAGTGTGGCTAATTTTCATTGCAGCCTCAAGTACCTTCACTGAAGGTTTCCCATTTTCTTTAATTTCCTTTTTCTCGTTGGTTTCAAAAACCTCAGCAGGAGCACTACAGGTGCTTTGAGGGATATTACTGGTATTAGAAATAAGAGGTTTGCTTCTCCAGCATGGCCAACACAACTTCCAAAAGACAAATAGCGAGACTACCAGCAAGGCAAGCCCACAGAAGCTGACGACTACTGCTAGCAGACTGACTGAGATGTCTGCAAACAATCAAAAACAAAGATCATCAAGACAGTCAAATACAGAGAAAAAGAAACATGACACAAGTAAGGAAGCAGAAGATTTTAGATATTTCTCTTGTGTAGAGCTTTCAGGATATGACAGATTAACATTTTCACTCTTGCAGATATCTAAAAAATATACATTTTAAAAGTTTTATCCACTAATAACAATTTAACTAAAATTCTATTAATTATTGCTTTGTTTCCAAGCCAATGGCCAGTTTTGGCCAGTCTTACTCACACTAAAATGAATGAGTGTACATGAGGAATAAAGTGCTAAACATTGAGAGGAAGTGTAGCCTGTCTTTCCATTGATTTTAGTGGGCTTTGGGTTAGGCCCTTGGGTTAGGCCCTGGCAAGAACTTCAGTGGAGTAAAACCAAGAATGTAGCTGACTCAAAAAATTAAAATCACAAAAGTTATCTTCTATGAGTAAACATTAATATAGATCATCATATGCACCCTGGCAGAGATATACAGTTGTTCAGCATCTTCCAAATTTTAGTCACATTAGGAAATGTGCATTGGATGCATTGGAAACATGTCAGAAGCCCAAAGGCAACACATAATTTGCATAAAATAGAACAGAATACAGCTGCTGTCTTTTTTAACAAATATGGAGGTACGACCAGCACAGATCAAGATGGCATTTATTGTGCTGGTACCTGGTGTCTCCATGGGCAATCCCTCTGTACTGAAAATGAGGCTCACCACAGAGCACATTGTAGACCGTGTGCTGCACTTTAGCTACCCCTGCTATCCTGCATTTGATTTGGCCTGCCACCATGGGTGAACATGTCCAATGACATTACCAAAGTAAAGAAAACAGATTTCATCTCTCTCAACTTTGTGAACAAATTCAGATTTCAGGGGAAGGCTGACCTTTCGTAGTGCCAGTAGGAGTCCTGATTAGGAGAGTTATTATATGAGACACACTTCAGTTTGATTTTTTTCAGTACCATGTTATATTATAAAATATAGACTTAAAAATACTCAAACCCCTTTTCTTTTGAAAAGGGCCTTTCACATGTTTTAAAATTATTCAATCGGCCCCAATTAAAGCTTGTGGAGAATTCTTGTCCCGTAAGCAATTGATGCTACTGCTTGTTATAACAAGGGTTGACAGATCTACAGCTAATACTTTGCATCCAAAGCTTCAGGCTCCATGCAGCTAAAATGAACCAGCTGAGAAGCACATTGAGCACTTTAAATACAAGTTTGCTAAAAAAAAAAAAAAAAAAAAAAAATCACATACAGAAAAAAATCCTTGAACTACACAGTGGTTCTATGAAATGCTAGGTAGCTCACTCTTCCCTTAGGGGGATTAGAAGTACAATTGAAATTTGAGAAGTTTGTTTTTTTAAACATTATAGTTATGATTACCAGATACATATCTTTCAATAATAAATATTGAGCTCAATGTCCATATACCATGAAAAGGGATAACAGTAATAAAAGAAAAAAAGAAAGGTTTAGAGCCTTGAGAAAATTGGAAAACCTTGGGGTTTAAACTGAGCCAAATCAAGATAAAAAAGGTACTTAAAAATAAAAAAGCAGAACATTCTTTTGTGTAGAGACTGTATGGTTTGGCCAATGTACATGGGAGAGGGGCATTTCTGGCACATGATGGCATATATCACATTGGTAGAACGCAAAAGAATAAATGGATACAAATCAGACATCAAGAATTGTAACATTCAAAAACCAGTAGGAGAGCACTTCAATCTCCCTAGACACTCAACAACAGACTTAAAAGTGGCCATTCTTCAACAAAAAAACTTCAAAAACAGACTTCAGTGAAAAACTGTAGAACTGGAATTAATTTGCAAACTGGACACCATCAAATTAGGCCTGAATAAAGACTGGGAGTGGCTGGGTCACTACAAAAAGTAATTTTCCCTCAGTTGACAAGAAGGTGTGAGTATCAACAGTTGGGAATGGGCCACATCCACCCTCGTTAGCACTACAAAAAGTAATTTTCCCTCTGTTGATATTCACCCCTTCTTGTCAACTGTTGGGAATAGGCTACATCCACCCTGTTTGAATTGGCCTCATTAGCACTGACCCCCTACTTGGTAAGATAACTCCCATCTTTTCATGTGCTGTAATATATATACCTGCCTACTGTATTTTTCACTCCATGCATCTGATGAAGTGGGTTTTAGCACACAAAAGCTTATGCCCAAATAAATTTGTTAGTCTCTAAGGTGCCACAAAGAAAACCTTGTTGTTTTTGCTGATACAGACTAACATGGCTACCACTCTGAAATTTTAATGAGAATCATTCATTCTAAGACCAGAAGGGACCATTAGATCCTCTGTCTAGTCTGATCTCTGGTATTTCAAAGGCCATTCAGTTTCAGTAACTAATTTGAATTTGTCTGGCTTCAGCTTCCAGCCATAGGTTCTTGTTATGCCTTTCTCCACTAGAGTAAAGAGACCTTTAGTATCCATCATTTTCTATCCTGAAAGTAGTTATACACTGTAATCAAGTCATTTCTCAATCTTTTTGAAAAACTAAACAGATTGAGTTTTATGTAGAGAGGGGTGGGAGATGGTTCCCCATCCCAGACTGTGATGAACCCACCCCAAAATTTGCATTAGCCTCCCCCCCATAACCTCCCCTACCACTGCAAAGGTCAAATGTTACAGAGAAGTAAGGGTGGCATGGGACGCTAAGTCTGCTGTAAAAAGTGATATTTGCATGTTTGTTAATATCACTTTTCACAGCCTCCCAGCTAGCTAGCAAGTTTGCTGCAAAAAGTGATATTGACAAAGTTTCTTTGCAACACCCCTCCTGTCTTAAACAATAATTATTTTAAAAAAATCTGTTTATAACATTAATTTGATAAAATGTGTTTTGGTCTTAATTTAAAAGCAACGAGAAAATGTAAATTCATTTTAAACAGTAGAGTTATAAATGTAGCATTTAAAATAGGGTTAATATAAAAATGTGTTTTAGTTTATAAGGGGGAGGAAGGGTCACACTCAAAGGCTTGTGGTGGGAAAGAGGTTGCCAATACAAAAAGTTTGAGAACCACTGATCTAGATAATAGTTAGTCCTGCCTCAGTGCAAGAGATTGGACTAGATGACCTATTGAGGTCCCTTCCAGTACTACATTACTATAATTCTAGGCTACTGTAGGTATGGCCTGTATCCTTTCCTCCTTGATGTATGATCTTGCAGTTGGCTGTACTAAAACACATTTTATTTGAAAATGTCCAGATTACCAGGAGATCCAGGTGGCTCTGTATGACTGTCCTGTCCTCATCACTATTTACACCTCTACCCTGATAGAACGCGGTCCTTGGGAGCCAAAAAATCTTACCGCGATATAGGTGAAACCGTGTTATATCGAACTTGCTTTGATCTGCCGGAGTGCACAGCCCCCCCCACCCCTGAGCACTGCTTTACCGCGTTATATCCTAATTTGTGTTATATCAGGTCGCGTTATATCGGGGTAGAGGTGTACCACTCCACTAGTCTGTGCCATCCCCAAATTTTATCAGCCATTATATTTATTTCCAAATCATTGATAAAAAATGTTGAATACTGTCAAGCCTAAGCCCAGCAGAATCTCTCTAGAAACACCAACATTCAATGAGGATTCCCCAGTAACTACTTTTTTGAGTTCCCTTATTAGGAACATGAGGAAGTTTAGTTATTTGAATAGGTGGGGACTGAGTCACAAATAAAAAGCAGTCATAGAATTGCACAACTCCTTTTCTTTGAGGCTCTTGATAAAATCCAAACATGTGAGTTATTGGTCTTAGCCAGAGGCAGTGGCTTTTCTAATACTTCAACTTTTCTGTGAAGGAAAACACTTTTTTAAAATCAAGGCTCCCACTCACAACTTAGTACACCTCTACCTCGATAGAACGCCATCCTCGGGAGCCAAAAAAATCTTACCGCGTTATAGGTGAAACCGCGTTATATCGAACTTGCTTTGATCCACCGGAGTGCGCAGCCCCGCCCCCCCGGAGCACTGCTTTACCGTGTTATATCCGAATTCATGTTATATCGGGTTGCGTTATATCGAGGTAGCGGTGTACTATCCTCTTTAGTTTTAACAGCTTTAAATTGTAAATATTTTAAATGGTTTTCTCATCGGTTTCAGATTTTATCTAATTCTAATAACTTTACAGGAAATATATCAAATCACGTTAACCCAAAAGAGAATCAAATCAGACTTCTAAACCCTCAATAATAAGAAAAAAGTTATATGAGAGGTAATTTTAGGAGTATTTGAAATATATTCAACAGCTTCACATGCTGTAATTGTACCATAAAATATTTTAATTAATAACAATGCAGTTTTGCATTTCCTAGGAAGTTGAGCAGCAAATTCATTCCCCAAATACTGAAATTATTGCTATAAATCTAAATATCATAGAAGATAACAAAAAGTACAGATAGTATTAGCTCATTTCCTCAGTTCTGATGGTCACTCAACTAAGCAATTATTAAAAATTACCCTGCTGTCATATTAAGCCAGAATTCATTCAAGCCCATCTGTGGAATAGTATTAAACCTGAGCTTTCCAAATCCTATGTATCAGACTGGAAATGTCGCCTATAATGTCTTTTTCACAGAAAGTTTGATTTAATAAGAGAAAATATCAAGAGACATTTCTTCAGACAGGAGTCTCTTTGCATGCCCATCAAGGAAGTTTAGTACTTAAGGCTAAATCTGTCAACAGGAATGGATTGCATTCCCTATATGTCAATAGTGTGCTATTTGTCCCTAACTAAGACTTAAAGCTAGGGACAAATTAAGAGCCTAATTTAATTTTTGGATGCAGATGGATGTACATTAATTCTGTTATGGAAAAAGTCATGGGTGTCTGTATTCTGAGATGGCTGCTCTAACCTGCTCTGGGTTTGAAGATGGGTCAGGAAATCAGGGACCTGTAACCAGCTCCCTGACAGTCCTCTGCCCCCAGTTGCATTCAGCCATTTATCTTCAATGGTATCTAGAAT